ACCTCAAGCTAGCAAGCTGAAGTGTACTTCCTGTAAACCAAGAACACGCCTCCTTTGACAAGCACTGCCCAACTTGGAAGAATAAGAAGAATAGTGAGTCATACTAATTTAGCACACTAAAATGGGATTATATAAGTAAAGAATAGTATGAACAACAATGGCACCAATAAATAAGGAAATAATTAATAAAGGAAGTGTACAAATATTTCCCCACGTAGCAGCGACCACATGAATTATGAAACAAAATAATAACACCAATTATAGGTATATTATGCTGACCAAGCTCAAACACAATATATGGTCCAGAACAATACTCCACTGGTTTCGTGATGGTATCCCAGGCCAGACTGAGATCATACCGGACACGTACTGAACAGGCCAGTGCAGCGACTCGGTCCAGCGCCCGTCCCAGAACAGGAACTGGACCTGTAATCTTAAATAATCAAAAAAAAAAAAAAAATAGCACCAAGTTTGTATATATTAAAATTGTATTATTAGATTATGATTAAACAAAATGATGAAAAAGAATAATTCTCTTCTGCCAAGTCAATAAGTAATACAAGTTTTGTTTAATTCAGATTCAACATTATTTGGGCGTTTTATAACAGCTACTTGTGGCTCCTTGGGTCATAGCCCCAGGTTGAGAACCACTGGGTTAGGTGGATGGCTAATAGTCAGGTCATCCAATTATTTATATTATGGTAGAATAAGTTCAGCTGTCAGCTCCCTTACCTGTCACGTGTCAGCTCCCTCACCTGTCACACCACTGTCAGCCCCTTCACCTGTCACACCACTGTCAGCCCCCCTCACCTGTAATACCACTGTCAGCTCCTTCACCTGTCACCACTGTCAGCCCCTTCACCTGTTACACCACTGTCAGCCCCCTTCACCTGTTACACCCCGTCAGCCCCTTCACCAGTTATCACCACTGTCAGCCCCCTCACCTGTTACCTGTCAGCCCCTTCACCTTTACACCCCTGTCAGCTCCCTCACCTGTAACACCACTGTCAGCTCCCTCACCTGTACACCACTGTCAGCCCCTTCACCTGTTACACCACTGTCAGCCCTTCTGTTACACCCTGTCAGCCCCTTCACAGTTACACCACTGTCAGCCTCTCACCTGTTACACCACTGTCAGCCCCCTTCACCTGTCACACCACTCAGTCCAATCACCTGTCACACCTGTCAGCCCCATTACCTCCTATCACTGTCAGCACTTCACCCGTCACACCACTGTGGAGCCCTTCACCTGTCACACACCACTGTGGCCCCATACCTGTCACACCACTGTCAGCCCCTTCACCTGTCACACCTGTCCAGCCCCTTCACCTGTCCCCACTGTCAGCCCCTTCATCTGTCACACCACTGTCAGCCCCTTCTGTCACACCACTGTCAGCCCCTTCACCTGTTACACCACTGTCAGCCCCTTCATGTTACACCACTGTCAGCCCCTTCACATGTTACACCACTGTCAGCCCTTCACCTGTTACACCACTGTCATTCACCTGTTACACCCTGTCCCCCTTCACCTGTTACACCACTGTCAGCCCCTTCACCTGTTACCACCACTGTCAGCCCCCTTCACCTGTTACACCACTGGCAGCCCCTCACCTGTTACATCACTGTCAGCCCCCTTCACTTGTTATCTGTCAGCTTCACCTGTTACACCTGTCAGCCCCTTCACCTGTTCCACTGGCAGCCCCTCACCTGTTACATCACTGTCAGCCCCCTTCACCTGTTACACAACTGTCAGCCCCTTCACCTGTTACACCACTGTCAGCCCCTTCACCTGTTACACCACTGTCAGCCCCCTTCACCTGTTACACCACTGTCTTCACCTGTTACATCAGCCCCCTTCACCTGTTACACCACTGTCAGCCCCTTCACCTGGTACACCACTGTCAGCCCCCTTCACGTGTTACACCACTGTCAGCCTTACCTGTTACACCACTGTCAGCCCCCTTCACCTGTTACACCACTGTCAGTCCCTTCACCTGTTACACCACTGTCAGCCCTTCACCTGTTACACCACTGTCAGTCCCTTTCACCTGTTACCACTGTCCCCCTTCACCTGTTACACCACCTCAGTCCCTTCACCTGTTACACCACTCAGCCCCTTCACCTGTTAAACCACTGTCACTTCACCTGTTACACCACTGTCAGTCCCCTTCACCTGTTACACACTGTCAGTCCCTTCATGTTACACCACTGTGTTCACCTGTTACACCACTGTCAGTCCCCTTCACCTGTTACACCACTGTCAGCCCCTTCACCTGTTACATCACTGTCAGCCCCCCTTCACCTGTTACACCACTGTGCCCCCTTCACCTGTTACACCACTGGCAGCCTCACCTGTTACACCACTGGCAGCCTCACCTGTTACACCAGCAGCCCCTCACCTGTTACATCACTGGCAGCCCCTTCACCTGTTACACCACTGGCAGCCCTCACCTGTAACACCACTGTCAGCTCCCTCACCTGTCACACCACTGTCAGCCCCTCACCTGTTACATCACTGTCAGCCCCTTCACCTGTTACACCACTGGCAGCCCCTCACCTGTTACACCACTGGCAGCCCCTCACCTGTTACATCACTGGCAGCCCCTTCACCTGTTACACCACTGCAGCCCCTCTATACCACTGTCAGCTCCCTCACCTGTCACACCACTGTCAGCCCTCACCTGTTACATCACTGTCAGCCTTCACCTGTACACCACTGGCAGCCCTCACCTGTTACATCACTGTCAGCCCCTTCACCTGTTACACCACTGGCCCCTCACCTGTTACATCACTGTCAGCCCCCTTCACCTGTTACACCACTGGCAGCCCCCTTCACCTGTTACACCACTGGCAGCCCTCACCTGTTACATCACTGTCAGCCCTCACCTGTTACATCACTGGCAGCCCCTTCACCTGTATACCACTGTCAGCCCTTCACCTGTTACATCATGGCAGCCCCTCACCTGTTACATCACTGTCAGCCCCTTCACCTGTTACACCACTGTCAGCCTTCACCTGTTACACCACTGGCAGCCCCTCCTGTTACATCACTGTCAGCCCCTCACCTGTTACATCACAGCCCTTCACCTGTTACACCACTGGCAGCCCTCACCTGTTACATCACTGTCAGCCCCCTACCTGTTACCTGGCTCACCTGTACATCACTGTCAGCCCCTCACCTGTTACATTTCAGTTGTATGGGAGATAATACAGTAAAGTGTTGTATTTTTGTAGTACAGTTGTATGGGAGATAATACAGTAAGTGTTGTATTTTTGTAGTTCAGTTGTATAGGAGATAATACAGTAAAAGTGTTGTATTTTGTAGTTCAGTTTATGGGAGATAATACAGTAAAGTGTTGTATTTTTGTAGTTCAGTTGTATGAGAGATAATACAGTAAAGTGTTGTATTTTTGTAGTTCAGTTGTATGAGAGATAATACAGTAAAGTGTTGTATTTTTGTAGTTCAGTTGTATGAGAGATAATACAGTAAAGTATTTGTATTTTTGTAGTTCAGTTGTATGGGAGATAATACAGTAAAGTGTTGTATTTTTTAATACAGTTGTATGGGAGATAATACAGTAAAGTGTTGTATTTTTTGTAGTACAGTTGTATGAGAGATAATACAGTAAGTGTTGTATTTTGTAGTTCAGTTGTATGGGAATAATACAGTAAAGTGTTGTATTTTGTAGTACAGTTGTATAGAGAAAATACAGTAAAGTGTTGTATTTTTGTAGTTCAGTTGTATGAGAATAATACAGTAAATGTTTTTGTAGTTCAGTTGTATGAAGATAATACAGTAAAGTGTTGTATTTTTGTAGTTCAGTTGTATGGGGAGATAATACAGTAAAGTGTTGTATTTTTGTAGTTCAGTTGTAATGGGAGATAATACAGTAAGTGTTGTATTTTTGTAGTTCAGTTGTATGAAGATAATACAGTAAAGTGTTGTATTTTTGTAGTACAGTTGTATGAGAGATAATACAGTAAAGTGTTGTATTTTTTGTAGTTCAGTTGTATGGAGATAATACAGTAAGTGTTGTATTTTTGTAGTTCAGTTGTATGAGAGATAATACAGTAAGTGTTGTATTTTTGTAGTTCAGTTGTATAGAATAATACAGTAAATGTTGTATTTTTGTAGTTCAGTTGTATGAAGATAATACAGTAAGTGTTGTATTTTTTGTAGTTCATTGCTATAGAGATAATACCAGTAAAGTGTTGTATTTTGGTACAGTTGTATAGGAGTAATACAGTAAAAGTGTTGTATTTTTGTAGTTCAGTTGTATGAGAGATAATACAGTAAAGTGTTGTATTTTGTAGTTCAGTTGTATAGAGAGATAATACAGTAAAGTGTTGTATTTTGTGCAGTTCAAGTTGTATGAGAATAATACAGTAAAGTGTTGTATTTTTGTAGTTCAGTTGTATGAGAGATAATACAGTAAAGTGTTGTATTTTTTGTAGTTCAGTTGTATGAGAGATATACAGTAAAGTGTTGTATTTTTTGTTCAGATTGTATGAGAGATAATACAGTAAAGTGTTGTATTTTTTGTAGTACAGTTGTATGAAATAATACAGTAAAGTGTTGTATTTTTGTAGTTCAGTTGTATGGGAGATAATACAGTAAAGTGTTGTATTTTTGTAGTTCAGTTGTATGAGAGATAATACAGTAAAGTATTTGTATTTTGTAGTTCAGTTGTGAGAATAATACAGTAAGTGTTGTATTTTTTGTAGTTCAGTTGTATGGGAGATAATACGAAAAGTGTTGTATTTTTGTAGTACAGTTGTATGAGAGATAATACAGTAAAGTGTTGTATTTTTGTAGTTCAGTTATAAGGAGATAATACAGTAAAGTGTTGTATTTTTGTAGTTCAGTTGTATGAGAGATAATACAGTAAAGTGTTGTATTTTTGTAGTTCAGTTGTATGAGAGATAATACAGTAAAGTGTTGTATTTTTGTAGTTCAGTTGTATGGGAGATAATACAGTAAAGTGTTGTATTTTTTTTGATACAATGTGATCCCTCAAGCTGTGCTGTCACTCAAGGTACTAACAGAACTGCCCATCATTGTGGTGCTAATGTTCCAGCTGTACAAACAACAGGTGTATCAAGACGTGGCAGACTTCATCCCTCTCATTATGAACACCATAGTGCTCCAGCCTCCACCAGCACAGGTAGGTTCATTAATACAGGGAGGTCATTAATACAGGTTCACAGAGACCAACAAGGGTTAAGAGAAATACTTACTCTCATTCACCTGTTCACTTTGTGTGTGTGTGATAATAATAATAATAATTAACGGTTTATTGAAAAATTTCAACAGCCCAAAGGCTGAAAATATATATTGGACAGAAATTACTTATTACATACAAAGACATGGGGGTGGTAGGTCGTTAAACAAAAGCTTTCATTACAGTACTAAAAGAAGAAGGAACGTGAGTTGTGTGTGTGTGTGTGTGTGGTCTCGTTGGCCACGTGGTTCAGTAACTCGGCTTCGGGTGTTGACATGACGGACCTTACGTGGTCATGGAGACACCAGTCAGTTCCCAGGGGTGCTTATCTCTCTGGTGGGTCACTGTTCTCACTGGTACTGTCTAGTGCTGAGTTCACTGGCTTAAGCACTGTTCAACACTGGTCCCACTTCTTTCCGAAATGAAATTGTCACTTTTGACAATGTTGATATCCAGTGGTGAGGATGGGTCGGGGAGGGACTTGGGAATGGCCGAACATGGCCAAGGGGCGCCGAGAGCAGGAGCAGTGCCTGATAGGTCTTGACCCTCCGGTGGTCAAGGGTGTGTGTGTGATAATAATAATATAATAATAATAATAATAATAATTAATAGTTTATTAAAAGAACATTGCAGCCAAAAGGCTAACAACATACAGTCACATTTCGGGAATGAGTCACTTTATTGACTAATAATATACAAGTAACACGTGTGTGTGTGTGTGTGTGTGTGTGTGTGTGTGTGTGTGTGTGTGTGTGTGTGTGTGTGTGTGTGTGTGTGTGTGTGTGTGTGTGTGTGTGTGTGTGTGTGTGTGTGTGTGTGTGTGTGTGTGTGTGTGTGTGTGTGTGTGTGTGTGTGTGTGTGTGTGTGTGTGTGTGTGTGTGTGTGTGTGTGTGTGTGTGTGTGTGTGTGTGTGTGTGTGTGTGTGTGTGTGTGTGTGTGTGTGTGTGTGTGTGTGTGTGTGTGTGTGTGTGTGTGTGTGTGTGTGTGTGTGTGTGTGTGTGTGTGTGTGTGTGTGTGTGTGTGTGTGTGTGTGTGTGTGTGTGTGTGTGTGTGTGTGTGTGTGTGTGTGTGTGTGTGTGTGTGTGTGTGTGTGTGTGTGTGTGTGTGTGTGTGTGTGTGTGTGTGTGTGTGTGTGTGTGTGTGTGTGTGTGTGTGTGTGTGTGTGTGTGTGTGTGTGTGTGTGTGTGTGTGTGTGTGTGTGTGTGTGTGTGTGTGTGTGTGTGTGTGTGTGTGTGTGTGTGTGTGTGTGTGTGTGTGTGTGTGTGTGTGTGTGTGTGTGTGTGTGTGTGTGTGTGTGTGTGTGTGTGTGTGTGTGTGTGTGTGTGTGTGTGTGTGTGTGTGTGTGTGTGTGTGTGTGTGTGTGTGTGTGTGTGTGTGTGTGTGTGTGTGTGTGTGTGTGTGTGTGTGTGTGTGTGTGTGTGTGTGTGTGTGTGTGTGTGTGTGTGTGTGTGTGTGTGTGTGTGTGTGTGTGTGTGTGTGTGTGTGTGTGTGTGTGTGTGTGTGTGTGTGTGTGTGTGTGTGTGTGTGTGTGTGTGTGTGTGTGTGTGTGTGTGTGTGTGTGTGTGTGTGTGTGTGTGTGTGTGTGTGTGTGTGTGTGTGTGTGTGTGTGTGTGTGTGTGTGTGTGTGTGTGTGTGTGTGTGTGTGTGTGTGTGTGTGTGTGTGTGTGTGTGTGTGTGTGTGTGTGTGTGTGTGTGTGTGTGTGTGTGTGTGTGTGTGTGTGTGTGTGTGTGTGTGTGTGTGTGTGTGTGTGTGTGTGTGTGTGTGTGTGTGTGTGTGTGTGTGTGTGTGTGTGTGTTCTCTACACCAAGTTGTGAATCACTTCATATTATTGGGTCGCACTAACTGCATCGGTGAGGTGAATTGCTTAAAAAAATAAAATAAAATTCTGCCAAAATAGTTTGAGATAATTGTTGGGCATCGTAGATGATCTGATGAGGCCAGCTTCCAGAGAGCACCACCACATGTGTGGAGATGAAGGCCGGTCCATTGTTGTGCCTTCAGTCAGGCTGGTGGGTTATGTCTCTCCCTGTGATGTGTTTTTTGTTATGTTCACAGAAAATATTTGAAATATCCAAATTTATTCAAACAATAACAGAACATGTGTCATCAGGTTCATGGGAGACGAGGAAACTTATTCCTACCTCAAAGGATTATCAAGCAAGAAAGACAAGCAGCTTGTTGCTTCCAATGCCTCCACCATATATGTGGCCTTTACAGTGAAGTTGCTAAGCTTGTTCCACTCGTCCACCACCCTATTTATGAACCAGTTTCTTTTCATCTCCCTCCTAAACCTAAACTTATCCAACTTAAACTGTTACTTGAACCTATCCTGCTTGGATATTATAAGAACTTTATTCATATCCCCTTTATTGATTCCTTTCACCCTCTTAAATACTTCTATCATATCTTCCCAGACTCTTCATCTTTCTAGAATGCAAGTTTAGTTTCTTTAACCTATCCTGATATGGAAGGTTTTAAGTCCCGAATCATTTTCGCCATTCTTCGCTGCAACCACTCCAGTGAATTGATGTCCATTCTATAAGGCACCAGAACTGAACATCATAATCGAGATCGTGCCTAACTCACGAAGATATAGTTGCAATAAGACCTCTGCACTCATATTACTTACACTTCTAGATATAAAACCTAATACTGTACTCTGTTTGCCTTATTTCGAACATTAACGCACTGTTTTCTAGGCCAGAGGTCCGGGCTTACAGGTATCCCTAGGTCTCTTTCACAAGTCGACTTCTGTAGTTCGATGTTGTTAAGGCTGTTTACGCTACAGTGTTTTTTCTTCCAATACTCTGCACTTGCTGGTGTTGAATTTCATTTGCTATTTTTCTGACAACTCCTGCAGTATATTTAAATCCTCCTGTACTGCATTTGCATCCTGCCCTGAACTAATCTGCCGCCCTATTTTGGTGTCATCTGCAAACTTGCTTATGTTACTACTGATCCCAGTATCTAGATCGTTTATGTAGATTATGAATAAGAGTGGGCCCAGTACTGACCCCCAAACCCCACTGGTTACACAGCCCCATTCAGATGTAACACCATCTACGCTGACCCTCTGTGTTTTATCGGTGAGCCATAATTTTATCCAATTTAAAACTTTCCCCGATACCATGAGCCTTAACTTTTCTCAGAAGCCTCTGATGTTAATCTGTCAAATGCTTTTGAAGTCTAGGTAACATCGGTTTTTCGTCATTATCTACTACCTCAAAAACTTTCAAAAACGTTAGCAGATTTGTTAGACATTTCCCTTTGTAAACCCATGTTGAGAGTCGAGATTAATTTGTTTTCTAAATGCGATCGGATGCTATTTGCTATAATTGATTCAAGAATTTTTCCTCTACTGATGTCAAACTAATTTAATCGTAATTTGAATTAATGATTCAGTTAACGAGATTTTCAATTAACAAGTGACTGGGAACCACAGGTCATAATGGAGCCAATGTATCACTCCTATAAAATTTTGAAAGCCACTGTTGGAGAGGTCATAAACTTGTGCCTCTATGACGCACTTGGTAGGTTGGTGAAGAAATAGCATTTGTTCATCTTATTTATTTATTTATTTATTTTATGACTTATGTTAAAGCCAAAACAATAATGAACCAGTGATGAAGAGTGGTGGTGATGACTACCAGACCACTGAGTGGTGGTGATGACTACCAGACCACTGGTGAGTGGTGGTGATGACTCCCAGACCACTGGTGAGTGGTGGTGATGACTACCAGACCACTGGTGAGTGGTGGTGATGACCCCAGACCACTAGTGAGTGGTGGTGATGACCCCAGACCACTGTGAGTGGTGGTGATGACTCCCAGACCACTGGTGAGTGGTGGTGATGACTACCAGACCACTGGTGAGTGGTGGTGATGACTACCAACCACTGGTGAGTGGTGGTGATGACCCCAGACCACGAGTGGTGGTGATGACTCCCAGACCACTGGTGAGTGTGAACTACCAGACCACTTGAGGTGGTGATGACTACCAGACCACTGGTGAGTGTGGTGGATGACTCCCAGACCACTGGTGAGTGGTGGTGATGACTACCAGACCACTGGTGAGTGGTGGTGATGACTCCAGACCACAGTGAGTGGTGGTGATGACCCCAGACCACTGGTGAGTGGGGGATGACTACCAGACCACTGGTGAGTGGTGGTGATGACTACCAGACCACTGGTGAGTGGTGGTGATGACTCCCAGACCACTGGTGAGTGGTGGTGATGACTACCAGACCACTGGTGAGTGGTGGTGATGACTCCCAGACCACTAGTGAGTGGTGGTGATGACCCCAGACCACTGGTGAGTGGTGGTGATGACCCAGACCACTAGTGAGTGTGGTGATGACCCAGACCACTGGTGGTGGTGATGACTCCCAACGACCACTGGTGAGTGGTGGTGATGACTACCAGACCACTGGTGAGTGGTGGTGATGACTCCCAGACCACTGGTGAGTGGTGGTGATGACCCGACCACTGGTGAGTGTGGTGATGACTCCAGACCACTGGTGGGTGGTGGTGAGACAGACCACTATACCGACCACGGTGAGTGGTGGTGATGACCCCAGACCACTGGTGAGTGGTGGTGATGACTCCCAGACCACTGTGGTGGTGATGACTCCCAGACCACTGGTGAGTGGTGGTGATGACTACCAGACCACTGGTGAGTGGTGGTGATGACTCCGGTGATGACTCAGACCACTGTGAGGTGGTGATGACTCCCCAGACCACTGGTGAGTGGTGGTGATGACTACCAGACCACTGGTGAGTGTGTGTGACTACCAGACCACTGGTGAGTGGTGGTGATGACCCACTGGAGTGGTGGTGATGACTCCAGACCACTGGTGAGTGGTGGGAACCCCAGAACTGGGGTGGTGATGATACCAGACCACTAGTGAGTGGTGGTGATGACTCCCAGACCACTGGTGAGTGGTGGTGATGACTACCAGACCACTAGTGAGTGGTGGTGATGACTCCAGACCACTGGTGAGTGGTGGTGATGACTACCAGACCACCAGTGAGTGGTGGTGATGACCCCAGACCACTGGTGAGTGGTGGTATGACTACCAGACCACTAGTGAGTGGTGGTGATGACCCAGACCACTGGTGAGTGGTGGTGATGACTACCAGACCACTAGTGAGTGGTGGTGATGACCCCAGACCACTGGTGAGTGGTGGTGATGACCCCCAGACCACTGGTGAGTGGTGGTGATGACTCCCAGACCACTGGTGAGTGGTGGTGATGACTACAGACCACTAGTGGTGGTGATGACCAGACCACTGGTGAGTGGTGGTGATGACTCCCAGACCACTGGTGAGTGGTGGTGATGACTCCAGACCACTGGTGAGTGGTGGTGATGACTACCAGACCACTGGTGGTGGTGGTGATGACTCAGACCACTGGTGAGTGGTGGTGATGACTACCAGACCACTAGTGAGTGGTGATGACTCCCAGACCACTGGTGAGTGGTGGTGACTCCAGACCACTAGTGAGTGTGATGACTCCCAGACCACTGGTGAGTGGTGGTGATGACGACAGACCACTGGTGAGTGGTGGTGATGACTCCCAGACCACTGGTGAGTGGTGGTGATGACTACCAGACCACTAGTGAGTGGTGGTGATGACTCCCAGACCACTGGTGAGTGGTGGTGATGACTACCAGACCACTGGTGAGTGGTGGTGATGACTCCCAGACCACTGGTGAGTGGTGGTGATGACTACCAGACCACTGGTGGTGGTGGTGATGACTCCCAGACCACTGGTGAGTGGTGGTGATGACTCCCAGACCACTAGTGAGTGGTGGTGATGACTCCCCAGACCACTGGTGAGTGGTGGTGATGACTCCCAGACCACTGGTGAGTGGTGATGACTCCCAGACCACTGGTGAGTGGTGGTGACTACCAGACCACTGGTGAGTGGTGGTGATGACTCCCAGACCACTGGTGAGTGGTGGTGATGACTACCAGACCACTGGTGAGTGGTGGTGATGACTCCCAAACCACTGGTGAGGGTGGTGATGACTCCCAGACCACTAGTGAGGTGGTGGTGATGACTCCCAGACCACTGGTGAGTGGTGGTGATGACTACCAGACCACTGAGTAGTGGTGGTGATGACTCCAGCCACTGGTGAGGTGGTGGTGACTACCAGACCACTAGTGAGTGGTGGTGATGACTCCCAGACCACTGGTGGTGGTGGTGGTGATGACTGCCAGACCACTGGTGAGTGGTGGTGATGACTCCCAGACCACTGGTGAGTGGTGGTGATGACTACCAGACCACTGAGTGAGTGGTGGTGATGACTCCCAGACCACTGGTGAGTGGTGGTGATGACTACCAGACCACTGGTGAGTGGTGGTGATGACTAGACCACTGGTGAGTGGTGGTGATGACTCAGACCACTGGTGAGTGGTGGTGATGACTACCAGACCACTAGTGAGTGGTGGTGATGACTCCCAGACCACTGGTGAGTGGTGACTCCAGACCACTGGTGAGTGGTGGTGATGACTCCCAGACCACTGGTGAGTGGTGGTGATGACTACCAGACCACTAGTGAGTGGTGGTGATGACTCCCAGACCACTGGTGAGTGGTGGTGATGACTACCAGACCACTGGTGAGTGGTGGTGATGACAGACCACTGGTGAGTGGTGGTGATGACACCAGACCACTAGTGGTGGTGGTGATGACTCCCCGACCACTGGTGGTGGTGGTGATGACTCCCAGACCACTGGTGAGTGGTGGTGATGACTCCCACTGGTGGTGGTGGTGATGACTACCAGACCACTGGTGAGTGGTGGTGATGACTCCCAGACCACTAGTGAGTGGTGGTGATGACTCAGACCACTGGTGAGTGGTGGTGATGACTCCCAGACCACTGGTGGTGGTGGTGATGACTCCCAGACCACTAGTGAGTGGTGGTGATGAATTCCGGACCACTGGTGAGTGCTGGTGATGACTACCAGACCACTGGTGAGTGGTGGTGATGACTCCCAGACCACTGGTGAGTGGTGGTGATGACTCCCAGACCACTAGTGAGTGGTGGTGATGACTCCCAGACCACTAGTGAGTGCTGGTGATGACTCCCAGACCACTGGTGAGTGGTGGTGATGAATCCCAGACCACTGGTGAGTGGTGGTGATGAATCCCAGACCACTGGTGAGTGGTGGTGATGATCCCGACCACTAGTGAGTTGTGGTGATGACTCCCAGACCACTAGTGAGTTGTGGTGATGACTCCCGACCACTAGTGAGAGGTGGTGATGACCCCCGACCACTAGTGAGAGGTGGTGATGACTCATAGACCACTAGTGAGTTGTGGTGATGACTCCCAGACCAGTAGTGAGTTGTGGTGATGACTCTCAGACCAGTAGTGAGAGGTGGTGATGACTCCCAGACCAGTAGTGAGTGGTGGTAATGACTCCCAGACCAGTAGTGAGTGGTGGTGATGACCCCAGACCACTGGTGAGTGATGGTGATGACTACTAGACCACTGGTGAGTGATACCCAAACTGGTGAGTGGGATGACTCAGACCACTGGTGAGTGGTGGTGATGACCCCAGACCACTGGTGAGTGGTGGTGATGACTCCCAGACCACTGGTGAGTGGTGGTGATGACTCCCAGACCACTGGTGAGTGGTGGTGATGACTACCAGACCACTAGTGAGTGGTGGTGATGACTACCAGACCACTGGTGAGTGGTGGTGATGACTACCAGACCACTAGTGAGTGGTGGTGATGACTACCAGACCACTGGTGAGTGGTGGTGATGACTACCAGACCACTGGTGAGTGGTGGTGATGACTACCAGACCACTGGTGAGTGGTGGTGACTGCAGACCACTGAGCTGGTGGTGATGACTCCCCCAGACCACTGGTGAGTGGTGGTGATGACTACCAGACCACTAGTGAGTGGTGGTGATGACTCCCCAGACCACTGGTGAGTGGTGGTGATGACTCCCAGACCACTGGGTGAGTGGTGGTGATGTCTCCTGACCACTAGTGAGTGGTGGTGATAGACCTTGAGACCACTACAGAGTGGTGGTGATGACTACCAGACCACTGGCAGTGAGTGGTGGTGATGACCCAGACCACTGGTGAGTGGTGGTGATGATGCCCCAGTGAGTGGTGGTGAGACCAGACCAGTGAATGGTGGTGATGACTCCCAGACCACTGGTGAGTGGTGGTGATGTCTCCCAGACCACTAGCGAGTGGTGGTGATGACTCCCAGACCACTGGTGAGTGGTGGTGATGACTGACCAGACCACTGGTGAGTGGTGGTGATGACTCCCAGACACCACTGGTGAGTGGTGGTGATGGACTCCAGACCACTGACCACTGAGTGGTGGTGATGTGGTGGGTGATGACAGACCACTAGTGAGTGGTGCAGACCACCAGACCAGTAGTGAGTGGTGGTGATGACTCCAGACCACTGAGAGTGGTGGTGATGACCCCAGACCAGCAGTGAGTGGTGGTGATGAATCCCAGACCACTAGTGAGTTGTGGTGATGACTCCCCAGACCAGACTCTAGTGAGTGGTGGTGATGACTCCCAGACCAGTAGTGATTGGTGGTGATGACTCCCAGACCAGTAAGAGTGGTGGTGATGACAAAAGTGGAGGTGGTGATGACTCCCAGACAGTAGTGAGTGGTGGTGATGACCCCAGACCAGTAGAAAGTGAGTGGTGGTGATGACTCCCAGACCAGTAGTGAGTGGTGGTGATGACTCCCAGACCACTGATGACCTGACTAGTGTGGTGGTGATGACTCCAGACCACTAGTGAGTGGTGGTGATGACTCCCAGACCACACTGAGACCTGACCAGTAGTGGGTGGTGGTGATGACACCCAGACCACTAGTGGGTGGTGGTGATGACTCCCAGACCAGTGGGTGGTGATGACCCCAGACTAGTGAGAGGTGGTGATGACTCCCAGACCAGTAGAAAGAGGTGGTGATGACTCCCCAGACCAGTAGGAGAGGTGGTGATGACTCTCAGACAGTAGGTGAGATCAGGAGGTGTGTGACCCCAGACCAGCAGTGAGAGGTGGTGATGACCCCCCAGACCAGTAGTGAGAGGTGGTGATGACTCCCAGACCAGTAGTGAGAGGTGGTGATGACCCCAGACCAGTAGTGAGAGGTGGTGATGACCTCCCAGACCAGTAGTGAGGTGGTGATGACTCCCAGACCAGTAGTGAGAGGTGGTGACTCCCAGACCAGTAGTGAGAGGTGGTGATGACTCCCAGACCAGTAGTGAGAGGTGGTGGATGAGGTGGTGATGACTCCCAGACCATGATAGTGAGAGGTGGTGATGACTCCCAGACCAGTAGTGAGAGGTGGTGATGACTCCCAGACCAGTAGTGAGAGATGACTCCCAGACCAGTAGTGAGGGTGATGACTCCCAGACCAGTATGATGAGAGTAGTGAGAGGTGGTGATGACCCCAGACCAGTAGTGAGAGGTGGTGATGACTACAGACCAGTAGTGAGAGGTGGTGATGACCCAGACCAGTAGTGAGAGGTGGTGATGACCCAGACCAGTAGGTGAGAGGTGGTGATGACTCAGACCAGTAGTGAGGGTGTGTGACCAGACTAGAGGTGGTGATGACTCCCAGACCAGTAGTGGAGGTGGATGACCTCAGACCAGTAAGAGAGGTGGTGATGACTCCCAGACCAGTAGTGAGAGGTGGATGAGCTCTCAGACCAGTAGGAGAGGTGGTGAAGAAGAGTGAGGTGGTGACCCACCAGTAGTGAGGGTGATGACCCAGACCAGTAGGAGAGGTGGTGATGACTCCCAGACCAGTAGTAGAGGTGGTGATGACTCCAGACAGAGAGGTGGTGATGGTGTAGTGAGAGGTGGTGATGACCCCAGACCAGTAGTGAGAGGTGGTGATGACTCCAGACCAGTAGTGAGAGGTGGTGATGACTCCCAGACCAGTAGTAGTGCAGAGGTAGGTGAGTGACTCCCAGACCAGTAGTGAGAGGTGGTGATCTGAGACCAGGGTGATGACCCAGACCAGGTAGGAGCGTGGTGATGACTCCCAGACCAGCAGTGAGAGGTGGTGATGACTCCCAGACCAGCAGTGAGGTGGTGATGACTCCCAGACCAGCAGGACCCCAGACCAGTAGTGAGAGGTGGTGATGACTCCCAGACCAGTAGTGAGAGGTGGTGATGACTCCCAGACCAGTAGTGAGAGGTGGTGATGACTCCCAGACCAGCAGTGAGAGGTGGTGATGACTCCCAGACCAGTAGTGAGAGGTGGTGATGACTCCCAGACCAGTAGTGAGAGGTGGTGATGACTCACAGACCAGTAGTGAGAGGTGGTGCACCAAAAGTCTAATATTAATCCCCAAGCAGCAGTTATTTTGGCACATTTGGTGAAATTTTCTTGTATATATTGATGTATTAATTATGTAAGAATACAGTATTGTAGAATGTATTGCATTATCTTTTTTCTGAATTACTTATTATTGTAAGCCTAGATCAGAGTAGAACGTTCTAGAATCTTCCAGGCGTCTCTGGGTTATTCTGGGATGTTTAAGAAGCGTCTGATTAGGCGTATATAAGGCGGTGCGGCTGCCTAGGGGCAGTTAGTTGTTCGCCTCTCTTAGTGTAAAGACTATGCCTAACAGAACAACTGACGACAATTGTTGTGCAAGTATTGTGGAATTGTTGTGATTAATATAAAGTTAGAAGACTAAGGAACTGTACACTGGTAGTGTGCCGACTATGTATTGTGGAGTCCAGCTGTGAAGCATTACCCTGTTAACAGTGTTGTGAAGAATTACTGTTTATTAAAGAAGACTACAGTGCACAAGTGTGTGTCTGGGTCCTGGTGAAACTCTACCTGCCTGTTGTTGTCTGTACACTGATACCGATCGTCGGGGAATTACCGGAGACTGGCGGGACAGCCGGTGGTAATTCTATAACTCTTGTGAGATATCTACTGCTTCTATACATACAACCCTGGCTGCTGGTAAGAGGTGAAGGAGAAGGGTCGTAACAATAATTATAATCCCTACATCACCTGTACATCATTACAAATATCAGTGTTTAGCGTCTAGACAATAAGTTAGTTAGATGGGTAGGTCCATGATGACTGCCTCACCCAGGTTGATATGCTGCTCTTGTCTTGTTACTCTTTTCACTTTGTTTATTTCAGAGATCATGAATCTTTCAACAAGGAAGTGTTTGTGGACCTAATTGCTGCCCAAATTAAAACACTGTCATTTCTGGCATACATACTGAAGATATATCAAGATGTTGTGACCCAACACTCTCCCAAGCTGGTATCTGGGATGCTCACCCTCCTGGCGCTGTGTCCCAACGAAGTCGCTCACTTAAGAAAAGAGTTACTCATCGCCACCAAGCACATTCTTGCTCTTGAACTGCGTAATAGTAAGTAACATGACTCTGGTGTATGTGGCGGCCACGGGGTGCTGCAGCCGGAGGAGACATTTTTCCCTGGCATGTGAGGGTCATCTGGTGAAGGGGATTCAAATGTCAACATATTTTTTCAGACTTTTCTCTGTACTAATGGTCCCTCGGTTAACGAGCGCCTCGGTTAACAAGATTTCGGTTAACGAATTACCTTCCATAAGATTCTTAACTTCGGTTAACGAGCAATCCCTCGATTAACGAGTTTTTTACGAGCCGACTTCAACATGTTTTCGCTTGCATTTGGCGGTCCACCAGCTGTAGTATTAGTCCGCCGATACAGTAATCGGTTTTAGGGCTTAAATTCCTTACCATTTTTGTAAATGTCAAGAAGTTTATACTATTCAATAAATTTAAAAGTTTAATATTAAATTTTTTAGTAGTTTTAACAATTATTGAACATAATTGAAGGTAAGGAAACTAATTTTATGCGCGCCATCCAGCCTGTCAACACACCAAACAGGCGCCAGACTCTCTGTCTTTTCAGTGGAGGTAACATCTTGCTTGAAACTATAATGAGACAAAATCTCATATGAAGAGGTAAGCTAGGAGTTTACAGTAGTAGTGTGTTATAGTGAGAGGAAATGGTAGCGTGTCTCGAGGGTGTGATGTTAACACTGTATATTAACACAGGCTCAGTACAAGTGTAGTATATAAAACACCACTGCGTGTTACAGCTTTATTTTACTAGTTCAATAGGGGGAATTAATGGGGGGGGGGGGTTTGTACACAATTTATGATAGACTATGGTATTCTCGTATGACCTAACCTCACAATTAGAATGGGCACTTCACTAAGTCGATCGTTGGGGAGGTTCGGGATCACCGCACTTCTACCGTCTACACAGCCAGCACTTACTGTTACACGTTGAGTTGACAGCACTCTGTCGATGGATCCGGCTGAGACTTCGTTACACTTAGTGGCGGGCTTCTCTCGAGCGGGACTGAGACGAAGTAGCTGGCCCTTCCTGGTTACAAGACGCACTCTCTTGAGGGAGGGTTACGACGTCCTATATATTGGGAGACGAGCCGTCAGGTTGAGTTGATCGGGGGGGTCCTTCCATTTGACCCCGCTAATGTAAGGTCAGGTCTGGACTTTTTCAGAGCTATAAGTTGTTGTATATTTTGGAGAAATCTTCAGATGACTGGGTTCTTGTTAACATCGTTGGTGTGGCCGTGTGACATGGGAGGTGCTGGTTGATTTGTGGCCTCCTTGAGCAGCTGCGAGGGTTACCCTTACACTTGACCTGGCTAATGTGAGGTCAGGTCTGGACTTCTTCTGCGATGTAGGTTATTGTGTATTTTGGTAGAGAAGTTAGATAGAGATTGCCGGAGGCAAGCCGCCTCCGGACCGGTGCCCAGCTAAGCAGTCTCCCATAGAGACTACCCAGGACCACCTGCTAGGCCTTCCCCAGGTCACGTGAGTTTTTGTCAGAGCTTTCCATGGGATGAGTTACTTACGTGGGAAGTGTATTCATTTCATGTTCGTGTCCGAGAGTCAGTGTCTAGTAACGTAATATAATGTCCTAGTAACGTAATATAATGTCCTAGTAACTTCAATAGAAGGTGTTATTAATGTGTCCATGTCATTGTCGTAATTATTAAATAGTTGTAACGAAGCGGTGTTTGAGTCGTCCTTAAGAACGTAATAGATGTGTGTTGACGTATAAGATAGGATAAGTGTATTGACAGAGTAAATAACTAACACGGCCACGCTACCAGATTCTTCCTTAATCATTTACTCTCTTAATCTCTTGTACACTTAAAACGCCTCATTACTAGACTCTCTTCAACTTAATGCTTTTTTTCTGTGTTTGCAAGCAAATTATTGGTCATTTTGAAATTTATTTTACACATTGACAATATATAATGCAGTGCAGTGTTGATTTAAAGAAAATAATCTTGAATTACACCAAGAGAACTAAAATTTTATGGGTGAAATGGCGCCATCAGGTGACTTCTCTTCCACCCCAATGCCTTCTTTTCTCCCTTCTCCTCCACTCCCATTCTAATTCCCATCATCATCATCCAGGAGCCTTCTACATACACACCTCAAAGTAAGTGTACTTTTCTACCTTTTTTGTTGAATGTAGGCAATTTTCGGTGAGCTGGAACCAATTACCCAAAAACCCATTGAAACAATGGTTTTGGTTAACGAGCAACCTGCTGGAACGGATTGTGCTCTTTAACCGAGGGACCACTGTACAGTTCTTCACTGCAAGGTTATATAGCTCATTATAAGAATACAGGATCCAAGAGTAAATGTTAAAAGTATGTAACTGGTAACACTTGTGTAAAACTGCAGTATATATGAGATACTTTTCTTGAATCTAGATCCAGAGTTGTGGTGTGATGCCCGCCACTATATTTACAATAACAAATGTGGCCTACAAAAGGTTGGGGACCATTGGTTTAAAATATGTTGTTGTTGTTTTGTTTAGTGAGATTATTATACTTATTAGTTTTTTTTAATTGTAGCTCTTGTATTGTTGACACTGTTTTCTCAACCTGTATATGTATACCTAAAGTTATGCTTGCATGAAATATTTACAGTACAGGCATCTCCCGCGTTACGGAAGCCCGGGTTACGGAATTTCGCTCTTACGGAATTTGTACATTATGACCAATAATTTCGCGTTACGGCCCGTAAATCCGCCCTTACGGAAATTGGGGTAAATTTTAACAAACACAAGGCCTCACACATGCCATTCAGACTGACAGACTTGACAAGTTTTACCAACCATAAAGACAGTTGAAGCTTTAAACTAAAATATAATAGTCCCTGGTGCACTCTTAAGATTAAGAGAAAATGGACGACTCAGGAGTGCTGAAGTGAGAGAAAACGGACTCCTATGACGGGGCACTCAAATAAACATGCACATAGCTGTATAATGCAATATTATGCATTATTAACCCCTAAATTGGTGTTTTAAGAAGGTATATCATAAATTATTTAATGTACTGTATTGTATGTGTTTATAAATGTTTATTTTCATTAATAAAAGTGCTTGAATTACTTTTTGGGGGCCGAAAAAATTCCTTAGGAACCCATTTCCAGTTTTATAATGGAAGTCAATGGGAAAATAGGTTTCGCGTTACGGAATTTCGCGATACGGTCAATTTTCCGGGAACGGAACCCTTCCGTAACGCGGGGATGCCTGTATAATGGTATCTCAATACAACTATTGTATAGTATTCCACATTAATCTGGCCCATATGCCACGCCGTTTTTATATACTAATAGCTGATTGGTTCATAGAAAATTCAACCTAAATGTGTTCACCATTGGTAAGCTGATCTGTTATTACTGTTGTCTATAAATAATGTTTATTAACTGGACCATCAAAATGCAGATAATTTCAAGTCATGAGCACTTGAGAGAGGGTGTTAGGTATACAGTGGTCCCTCCATTAACCAACACACAGAGTCGGTTGTTAACCAAACTTTTCGTTAACAGAATCTGTTACTGTATTTCAATGGGATATTGGGTAATTGGTTCCAACTCACAGAAAACGTATACATACAACGTACTGTATACCAGTAATAGAATTAACAAAACTTTAAATATAAACTAAATACAGTACTGTACTGTACAGTAGGGGGCAGTGAAATTTTGCTCAAAGCTGCACTCTTCAGGCATTGTTCCTTATACATATCTAAGACTCCATGCCAAATTTGAAGCTGATATGTCGAGGTTTAGTCTGCCGCATTTTCTACTGAAATTTTTAAATTTACCAACAGTACTAGCCAAACAGCCGCTGTGGCGGTGCAATGTTCTGTTCAGTGTTAATCAACTTTTTTTTCATATCTCTTATTTCATTTAAGTTGACTATGGCATTATCACAAAGGATGACAAGAGTCAGGTTATTGGACCACATAAGCTGCGGGATGCGAGACAAAAATACCGATTTAAGAGGCAAGAAATTGAGATGGCTAGTTTAGATAATTTGACGTCACTCTATTTTGATGGTAAGAAGACCGCCACTCGTGTGATGATAAAGAATGAGAAGACCGAGAAATGGAGTTCGAGGATGATGGTGAAAGATCATTATGTCATCATGGTTGAGCCTGGCAATGAATATCTCACACATGTGACTCCCAAGACTGGACACGGAAAGCAGATTGCCAAAACTATTCACGAGTTTCTGGTGGAGAAAAATCTAACCCAGCAGCCCATTGTGTGTGTTGGTTGTGATGGAACCAATGTAAATGTAGGATCAGAAAATGGAGTCATTCATCATCTTGAAATGTTACTTGGTCACCCGCTCCATTATTTCATATGTCAGCTTCACGGAAATGAGCTGCCTTTCCGCGCAGTTTTTTATCACTATGATGGTAAACCAAGTGGTCCTGAGCATTGGCGTGGTCCCATTGGAAAGCAGATCAAGGAGTCTTTGTCTGAGCTTCCAGTTGTCGCCTTCCAGCCAGTCAGTTTCCCTGATTTCCCTGTGTTTAATGATGAAGTGGAGAAAGATCTGTCCTGGGATCAGAAATACCTGTATAGGATTTGTAAAGGAGTTATCACAGGTGTTGTTGAAGATGACTTGGCTGCTATTGAGCCAGGTCCTCCCTGTGTGTCAAGGTGGAACACCTTATGGAGTAGAATCCTCAGGCTGTATGTAGCAACATCAAGACCCAGCCATGAGTTGAAAAGAATTGTCATTACAATAATAAAGTTCAGTGCTCCAATGTGGTTTTACATCAAGATACACCCTTACGTAACACACGGCTCAAGGAACGTATTCCAGTCCCTGCTATATATGAAACACCTGAATAGTGAGGAGGAGACGATAGTGAAGAAGGCTGTCCAGAGAAATGCATACTTCGCCCACACAGATCAACTTCTTCTTGGTATGTGTGCAGATGAGGACATGACTGTTAGAGAAAAAGCTGTCTCAATGATAAGAAAAATTAGAGAGGAGAATCAGCAAAAGGAAGAATGCACTGGCAGATCTGAAGAGGAGGAGGAAGATTCTGATGCTGCTGTTGACGAGAATTTGTTAAACTATACTGATGAGGAGGGTAAAGATGGAGATGGGAATGAGGATGTGCCTCCTGTAGTCAACATGAGAAAGGTGGTGACTCCGAAACTAAAGTGGCAAGCAAAAAACTATCATTCCATGATTAACTGGAGGAATGAACTCAAGACTGAGCCTCCTTACATTGTTTCTCTGTCAAATCTACAGGTTAATGACATTCTTGAGACACCATTAGTGGTGCCCAAGTGGCCAAACAGCACTCAGGCGGTCGAGAGAGGCATAAAAGTGATGACTGAAGCTTGCACTGAAGTGACGGGATACGAATCGAGAGATGGATATATTAGGCAAAGATTATTGTCTAGGAAAATGATGCCAAGGTTCCGCACAAAAAAGAATTTCAATATGAACTTGTAATGATTTTCTATACGGTGTACCTGTAAAATAACATGTGAATTAAATCGATGTCACCCATGTAAAATTTATCATTATCCTGGAAAACATTAAATGACACCTAATTTTTGGTAAACAGTACACTAAAAGTTGACAAAAAGTCGTTCGCGATGCGGCAGGGTAAGTATGCATGAAATGGCATGAAATTTTGCACAGGTGTTTGTTACAGCCATACAAACGATGCCTGAAAAGTGCAGCCTGCAACTCAAATAAACTTATGTGTATGTCATATTCCCGGCAGCTTTGTTTACATATCAAACAGCTGATTGTAGAGGCAGTTGGTGATGACGTGTCATATTCTTTACAGTCCATTGGTTCTAATGCCTTCTTCGTGTTTCATAATAATTTCTGCACTGTATATTATCAATACAGTATGTTAACTAAATTTCAAAATGACCAATAATTTTAATGTAAAAATATTCAAGAGCACAACTTTCTCGATATTTACTCCACTGGAAACGAATGTAAACATAGAACCAATTACTGTATTGGCTGACTAATCGATCAGCTGATGCGCACACCAAGGCGCGTTTCTCGCAAAGCTGACGTTAATCGAAGTTTTGTTCGTTAATGGAACCGAAAATCCTCATGGTACCTAATACGTTAACCAAAATTTCGTTGATTGACCTTTCGTTAATCGAGGGACCGCCGTATTTAAATATTTATCATAAAAATTCGATAGAAATACACACTTGTATACACGTGCAGTCCGGGGGGAGGTAAAGCGCTCGGGAGAACCAATCAGCTATTTGTAGCTATAGATGAGGGTTACGGACCAGGTCAGTGTGGAAATGGTAGAGCTTAAGGATTTTACATTAGTATTATTGTATCATTGTGAGTCATTCATTGTTTTTCAAACTATTGAATAATATGTGAAGTTTATGCAATTTGTTGGTAAATTCTTCATTCAATTATTTATTTTAGAAATTTATTTGACCTTAAATGTTGTTGTTGAACTTGTCATTACTATAACTTGGAGGATGAAACAAAGAAATTGGTGAGTGTGGAGTCCTTATTGGATGATAAAATAATAATGAAATAAATCACTTGAACTACAGTAAACCTGCTCTTATCCAGACTACAGTAAACCTGCTCTTATCCAGACTACAGTAAACCTGCTCTTATCCAGACTACAGTAAACCTGCTCTTATCCAGACTACAGTAAACCTGCTCTTATCCAGACTACAGTAAACCTGCTCTTATCCAGACTACAGTAAACCTGCTCTTATCCAGACTACAGTATCCAGACTACAGTAAACCTGCTCTTATCCAGACTACAGTAAACCTGCTCTTATCCAGACTACAGTAAACCTGCTCTTATCCAGACTACAGTAAACCTGCTCTTATCCAGACTACAGTAAACCTGCTCTTATCCAGACTGCAGTAAACCTGCTCTTATCCAGACTATAGTAAACCTGCTCTTATCCAGACTACAGTAAACATGCTCTTATCCAGACTACAGTAAACCTGCTCTTATCCAGACTACAGTAAACCTGCTCTTATCCAGACTGCAGTAAACCTGCTCTTATCCAGACTATAGTAAACCTGCTCTTATCCAGACTATAAACCTGCTCTTATCCAGACTACAGTAAACCTGTCTTATCGGACTACAGTAAACCACCTGCTCTTATCGAACTACAGTAAACCTGCTCTTATCGAACTACAGTAAACCTGTATCTTATCCAGACTACAATAAACCTGCTCTTATCCAGACTACAGTAAACCTTGCTCTTATCCAGACTACAGTAAACCATAATAAACCTACTCCAGACTACAATAAAACCTTATCCAGACTACAGTAAACCTGCTCTTATCCAGACTACAGTAAACCTGCTTTACTCCAGACTACAGTAAACCTCTCTATCCAGACTACAGTCTGCTCCAACTACCAATCGCTTCTTATCCAGACTACAGTAAACCTTGACTACAATAAACCTGCTCTTATCCAGACTACAGTAAACCTGCTCTTATCCAACTAATAAACCTGCTCTTATCCAGACTACAGTAAACCTGCTCTTATCCAGACTACAGTAAACCTGCTTATCCAGACTACAGTAAACCTGCTTTATCCAGACTACAGTAAACCTTCTTATCCAGACTACAGTAACCTGTCTTATCCAGACTACAGTAAACCTGCTTTACTCAGACTACAGTAAACCTGCTTTATCCAGACTACAGTAAACCTGCTTTACTCAGACTACAGTAAACCTGCTTTACTCCAGACTACAGTAAACCCTCTTTATCAGACTACAGTAAACCTGCTTTACTCCAGACACAATAAACCTGCACTCCAGACACAGTAAACCTGCTTTACTCAGCTACAGTAAATTTCAAGACTACAGTAAACCTGCTTTACTCCAGACTACAGTAAACCTGCTTTACTCAGACTACAGTAAACCTGCTACTCCAGACTACAGTAAACCTGCTTTACTCAGACTACAGTAAACCTGCTTTACTCAGACTACAGTAAACTAGCTTTACTCCAGACTACAGTAAACCTGCTTTACTCCACTACAATAAACCCTGCCTCCAGACTACAGTAAACCTGCCCAGACCAGTAAACCTGCTTTACTCCAGACTGTAAACCTGCTACTCCAGACTACAGTAAACCTGCTTTACTCCAGACTACAGTAAACCTGCTTTACTCAGACTACAGTAAACCTGCTTTACTCCAGACTACAGTAAACCTGCTTTACTCCAGACTACAGTAAACCTGCTTTACTCCAGACTACAGTAAACCTGCTTTACTCCAGACTACAGTAAACCTGCTTTACTCCAGACTACAGTAAACCTGCTTTACTCCAGACTACAGTAAACCTGCTTTACTCCAGACTACAGTAAACCTGCTTTAGAACTACAGTAAACCTGCTTTACTCCAGACTACAGTAAACCTGCTTTACTCCAGACTACAGTAAACCTGCTTTACTCCAGACTACAGTAAACCTGCTTTACTCAGACTACAGTAAACCTGCCTGCTTTACTCCAGACTACAGTAAACCTGCTTTACTCCAGACTACAGTAAACCTGCTTTACTCCAGACTACAGTAAACCTGCTTTACTCAGACTACAGTAAACTACTCAGTAAAGCCTGCTTTACTCCAGACTACAGTAAACCTGCTTTACTCCAGACTACAGTAAACCTGCTTTACTCCAGACTACAGTAAACCTGCTTTACTCCAGACTACAGTAAACCTGCTTTACTCCAGACTACAGTAATGGGGGGAAGGCTTGTCCAGTTTGGCCGAGATTGTGTGTTGGGCGGAGGCATTGACTCTGGGTTTTTCCCACCATGAATATAGTCATAAAACTTGCCATACAAATACATCTTGGTGATGAAAGTGTTACAGAATACTAAGTGGGGCAACTGTGTCTGGAGAACACAATACTAAGTGGGGCAACTGTGTCTGGAGAACACAATACTAAGTGGGGCAACTGTGTCTGGAGAACACAATACTAAGTGGGGCAACTGTGTCTGGAGAACACAATACTAAGTGGGGCAACTCTGTCTGGAGAACACAATACTAAGTGGGGCAACTCTGTCTGGAGAACACAATACTAAGTGGGGCAACTGTGTCTGGAGAACACAATACTAAGTGGGGCAACTCTGTCTGGAGAACACAAACTTAAAAAATAAAATTGCCAACTTATGATATTAATCTTATTGTCTGTATTTCAGGGTTTGTCCCACACATTGACAAGTTGTTCGATGAAAGTCTCTTGTTTGGCCGAGGTTGGACGGCCCACGAAACTCTACGGCCGTTGGCGTACTCCACCCTGGCCGACTTGGTTCATCATGTCCGTCAACAGTTGGACATGGGAGCATTGACTCGTGCGGTTCACCTCTTCTCTAAGAATATCCATGACGAGACACTTCCCACCAGCATACAGACGATGTCCTGCAAGCTCCTCCTCAATCTGGTCGAGTGCATCAGATCTCAGAGCGAGAACAACGAGCCCGGCGCCGGCAGGGACTTACTCATTAGGATGCTGCACGTGTTTGTCAACAAATTTAAGACGATAGCGCAGCTTCAGCTCCCGTACCTGAAGAACAGACAGCAACAGCAGCTTAATAGCCTGTCGCTCCCATCGTCGTTGCAGAATCCTGGCGCGTGTTCCTCGGTCCCAGAGGACAGGAAGGAGGACGTCAGGACGAGCGTCGGCGAGAGCGACAACAGAGACAAGGAGACCCAGAGGATCGGGTTCCCCCCAAATGTGACGGTCAACTACAGCGTGTCCGACTGTAGAGCTCTGGTTAAGACTCTGGTGTGTGGCGTCAAGACCATCACCTGGGGCTGCGCCTCCTGCAAGTCTGCCGTCGACCCTGCACTCACTAACAACAAGTCGTTCCACCCCAAAGAGACTCTGGTGTTCATCAGGTTAGTCAAGTGGGCGATGCAGGCGCTGGACATCTACACACTCAACGCTCCAGGAAATCAGCAGTCGACCGGTCAGAAAGGTCAGGTGCCTCAGACCGTGAGGTCAAAGGAGGAGAAGGAAGTTCTGGAGCATTTTGCTGGTGTCTTTATCATGATGAACCCCTCCACTTTTAGGGAGATCTTCTCCACCACAATAGACTACGTGGTGGAGCGCATCTACCATAACACGGCCCTGCAGATAGTGGCCAATTCCTTCCTGGCCAACTCCACCACCTCTCCAATATTTGCGACGATACTCGTGGAATACCTGCTGGGCCATATGGAGGAAATGGGCACCTCAATGGACAGGTCAAACTTGTACCTCAAGCTGTTCAAGTTAGTGTTTGGATCCGTGTCTCTCTTTGCGGCCGAAAACGAACAGATGCTGAAACCTCACCTCCACCAGATAGTGAACAGGTCTATGGAGTTGGCCATGAGTGCCAAAGACCCATACAACTACTTCCTGCTGCTGCGGGCTCTCTTCCGCTCCATAGGCGGAGGAAGTCACGATCTCCTCTACCAGGAGTTCCTTCCTCTGCTACCCACGTTGCTACAGGGCCTTAACAGCCTGCAGAGCGGCCTGCACAAGCAACACATGAAGGACCTCTTCGTGGAGCTGTGCCTCACTGTGCCGGTCAGACTCTCCTCTCTGCTTCCGTATTTACCGATGCTCATGGATCCTCTGGTGTCTGCTCTTAATGGGTCACAAACACTCATTTCACAGGGATTAAGAACTCTTGAACTCTGCGTGGATAATCTGCAGCCCGACTTTTTATACGAACACATACAGCCTGTGCGGGCAGAACTGATGCAGGCTCTGTGGAAGACATTGAGGAACCCCAATGACACTATCGCTCAAGTGGCATTCAGAGTTCTTGGCAAATTTGGCGGCGGTAACCGGAAGATGATGATCGAGCCGCAGAAGCTGGAGTATAACGAGCAGGAGACTCCCAGCACCTGCGTCACCGTCCAGTTCTCGGACCACAAGGCGCCGATCACGTTACCCGTGGAGAAGATCATAGAGACGGCGTTCACCGCGCTTAAGACGTCAAACACGGAGCCGTGGTATCGTAGACAGTGCTGGGAGGTGATCCGGTGTTTCCTCGTCGGGTCGATGCAGTTTGACGAAGACAAACACTTGGTTAATAAACTGTTCACACATCCTAGCTTTAGAGAAGGAGAGATCTCAACCGTACACGGACCTTATTACAAGTGCGTGGACGATCAGGCCCGGCAAGTGCACCAGATGGCCGTTACTGCCATGTTTGTGGCCGCAGCGATCAAAGACCTGCGACAGAGCGTCTTGCCGACTATGGTGTCTCTGGTGAGGCATTACACAATGGTAGCCATCGCCCAGCAGGCAGGACCCTTCAACATGATGGGTCGCTGGAGTAAGGTGCAGGGCATGGACCCTCTAGTCCTCATAGACGCCCTCGCCGTCATCATGGGTCACGAGGAGAAAGAACTGTGTAAACCCGGCCACCTAGCCCTCGTGCTCATCATGGAAGCGGCGACCAACATCCTGGGCACGAAAGAGCGAGCTTGTCAGCTGCCTCTGATGGAGTACCTGGTGGAGAAGATGTGCGGCCTCTGCTACGAGCGGGCCTGGTACGCCAAGCTGGGAGGCTGTATTGCAATAAAGTTTCTCTTTGAACGCATGGCGCTGAAGTGGGTGTTGGAGCACCAGTTCCCGTTCCTGAGAGCATTGTTATTTGTCATGATGGATCTCACCGGTGAGGTGTCCAGTGGGGCCGTAGACATGGCAAAGAACAACCTGGAGAGAATGTTAAGAGTTTGTGGGGCTCCTCTGGAGGCTGACAACAACACAGAAGAGATGAGACAGATTCAGAACAAGTCCCTCCACGACGTGACCCACGAGCTGGTGCGGCAGGTCACCTCGCCCAACACCACGGTGAGAGACCAGGCGATGCAGAGTCTCCAGGTTCTGGCAAAACTCGGTGGAAGAGGCGTAACGGAGGTGATGCAGCCGCACAAGGACGTGCTGGCGGACATGATTCCCCCCAAGAAACATCCGCTTCGCCAACAGCCGGCCAACGTCCAGATCGGCCTGATGGACGGCAACACTTTCTGCACAACCCTCGAGCCTCGGTTGTTTACTCTGGATTTGAGTCTCAACGAACACAACTTTTTCAACGCCGAATTACATATATTAGTTGAAACTGAAGATTCATTCCTAGCTAAACTGTCGTGCTACAAGAACATCGCTAATTTGGTTCCACTCAGAAAATCTGCTCTGAGAGCTCTTGCCGCCTGTCACTACATCCCTCAGGTACGAGAGAAAATTTTCCCCACACTTTACAAGGCTCTGAACAATTCCTCCCATCCTGAGCTCCAAGAGACGGCCTTTGAGTGTCTCAAGAAGTTTCAGAGCGGCTGCCAGATAGACATGGAGATGGTGCACACAGCAATGAGACCTTTACTGGGTCAGCTCTGCCACTACAGGAGCGTCACCCTTCCCGTGATTCACCGCCTCTCCTACTTGACGCAGCTCTTCCCGTACACGTTCAATGAGAAACTGTGCGACCAGCTGACGCAGCACATGAAGAACCTCATCGAGATGGCCATCGTGGCCAGGAAACAGAACACGGCAGCGGCGAACAAACAAGACAACAGCGACCTCAAACTCTGTGCTAATATTGTTGGAATTTTCCATCAAATTCCAGCAGCCTCTGCGAGATTTGTTGAGATCTTATGTAAGTTGGTGTTGCAGACCGAACGCGCTCTCTTGATTGAGGCGGGAAGTCCTTTCCGAGAACCTCTGATGAAATTTCTTCTGCGATACCCGGCAGAAACCGTGGAACTGTTTCTATCCGATCCCCACGCCCGCGACCAGCAGTGGGCACGTTATTTGGAGTACCTGATACGCCACAAGGACAACGCAGCCTTTAGAAATCATTTACAAACTTGCAGTGAGAAAATATTAACTGTGTTGATGGCCAGCCCAAGAGCAGTCCAGATTCCTGGGTTACAATCACAGCAGCAGCAGCAGTCTGCCCCGACAGCTGCCGACAGGGCCCAGCTGCAGTACTTGGGGGTCCGAGTAATTCTCCTGCTCTCCCGTTTTGATGAGCACTGGCTCGCATCCCAAACTAAACTGATCGTCTCGTTGAAGAACATTTGGATATCCGACGAATTTCAGGACAGGCACCATTGTGCAGAGAATGTGGATTTGATGCACTGGAAGGAGCCGCGTATGGTGGTGTCCATCCTTCTGATGTACTTCAAAAACCACACAGATGACATCAAACTCCTCTTCCAGCTGTTGAGAGCTTTCATTGGACGCTTCATCCCGGACTTCCAGTTCTTGAGAGATTTCTTGGAACAGACCGTTGCTCAGACGTACTGCGTGGAGTGGAAGAGGTCGGCATTCTTCGAGTTCGTGGAAGTCTTCGAGGATATATCCGTGCCGCAGGAGCTGAAGGCACGGATACTGCAGTACATCATCATCCCGTGTCTGACCGTCAGTCTGGAGTGCGGGGACGGGGAGAAGCTGATCGGGTATCCTCCCGCCCCGGACCAGGACCATCTGGATAACGTGGTGTCCGTCTTCATCACCAGAGTCATCAATCCGGACGAGCCTTTCGTGTACAGCGACGCGGCGAGGATTCTTCTGCTGCAGCTGTCGTGTCTCCTGGTGGAACGGGCATCCGCTCACATCCACGACGCCGGCAACAAGAGACAGGGTCAGAAACTGCGTCGGCTGATGACCTTTGCCTGGCCCTGTCTGCTCTCCAAGAACTGCGTAGACCCGGCCACCAAGTATCACGGACACCTGCTTCTCTCTCACATCATAGCCAAGTTTGCCATCCATAAGCGCATTGTCTTACAGGTGTTTCACAGCTTGTTGAAGGCACATGCAATGGAAGCAAGATCTGTTGTTAGACAAGCCCTGGAGATACTCACCCCGGCTATGCCAGTACGAATGGAAGATGGTGAGTAACTTCGGTGTTGTATTGGCGGAGAAATTGAGCGAACCAGGGGCAGATCCAGGGGGGTCCAGAGCCCCACCTTTTCAATAAAAAATTCCAATTCCTTTTTCTTTAATGCAGTATTGTACTCGGGTGTGTTTGTAGTGTAAAAAAGTAATTTATATTAACCTCAGAATATCTCTTAATATCGAGTGCACATGGCCTCAAAAGGGTCTTCAAAATTCCCATCATATTGACCAGATTTAAATAAATAATAATATTTGGGGAAGGGGGGGGCTGTACCCCCGCCAGTTGTGTTGGCTCACTGTGGGTGGTTAGGTTAGGTCAGGTTACTACACTGAGAGGTAACATTGTCTTGATCATTACAGGTAACACAATGTTGACTCACTGGACGCGTAAGATCCTGGTGGAGGAAGGACACTCGGTGGGTCAGCTGGTGCACATCCTGCAGCTGGTGGTGCGCCACGCCAACGTCTACTACCCCGTCCGCCACCACCTGACACACCACATCACCCAAGCCATGCACCGCCTTGGGTTCACCCCCACGGCCAATTTGGATCAGAGGAGACTTGCTGTGGACTTGGCCGAGGTAGAGTATCTGTGTTGGTGTAATGTCTTGCTGGCTAAGAGAGCACTTACAAATCCTACATACTTTAGCTTGCCCAGTTCCCACACTGGGATGGTGGCAGTGGGCGAGAATATCAAAATGTAGTTCGTTCTGGCCTGTGTCAACACATTGTTTTGAGATGTTAAACTAGAGGGACAGTTGAGACAATTTTCATGATTAGTATTATCCTTTTTTATTATTTTTGGGACAGTTTATCTTAGACTTGTTTCTTTGTTTCCTTTTCAGGTTTGCATTAAGTGGGAAGAACAGAGAGTAAAGGAGGAGACAGAGAGTGACGGTGGGTGTGAGGCGTTGGTCCAGCAGCTGCAGCAACAACCCGCCGCTATAAAACGATCCTCGTCGACGGACGGTCCAGAAGCTAAAAGAGCGAGGGTTTCTATTGGCGGCAGTTCCAGGGGGAGCATCGACGTCACTAAGCCCATGGAGAAGAGTCACGCGGACGCCGTCGTGTATTTCTTGCTGCGTCTGGCGTGTCAGGTCAACGAGAGCACGGCGACGCCCGGCACCGTGGCTCCCGGCGAAGCTCTGTCTCGCCGCTGTGTCTGTCTGCTCAAGAGAGCTCTGAAACCAGACATGTGGCCTCATGCAGACCCTAAGTTAGCTTGGTTGGATAAATTATTCCTAAACTTAGAGTCTGCACAACCAAACCTGGCCAATGTTTGCGTTGGATTAGAAGTCTTCACCTACCTCATCGGAACTCTGAGACGTGAACAGATATTGGGCGCCATGCGCGGTCTGACCCGTGGCCTTGTGGCCTGCATGACGTGCAGTAACTCGCGCGTCGTGCGTCTCACCCATTCCTTATTGGCCCGGCTCATGTCGACCTTCCCTACGGAGCCGACCAGCGCCACGGTGGCTTCCAGGTACGAGGAACTGGAGGAACTGTATTCTAGAATAGCCAAGATCGTGTTCGAGGGACTGACGTCGTACGAGAAGAATGCCAGTGCATCTCCAACGTCCCTGTTTGGCACTCTGATGATACTGAAGGCTGCTTGCCAAAACAATTCTTGCTACATTGATAGACTCATTATGCCCTTTATGAAGGTCCTCCAGCGCATGGCCCGCGACCACCTCAGCCACACTACAACAGACAACAGCTCAGGTACAGTATCAACACACTACTGTACAGTTCTTGTGGTCTCATATGTGTTACCGATACGTGCAGTACTGTACTGTACTGTACTGTACTGTGCTGTACTGTACTGTACTGTACAGTACAGTACAGTACTGTATTGTACTGTACTGTACAGTACTGTACTGTACTGTCGTTTAATAATATATTTAATGATTTTTACAGTGGGCAGTGAGCTGTTGATTCTCTCCCTTGAACTTGTGAAGAACCGTGTGGGTGTGATGGGAGTAGAGATGAGGAAGGCCTTTATTGGCACTATCCTTGTTGGCCTCATAGAGAAAACACCAGATGTGAAGGTCATGAAGGCCATAACAAAGGTAAATAAGAATGGTGTTTTGTGTAGTAAACCTTTCTCACGTACAGTATTATCTTGTTAAGAGTAGACCTCACGTATTGCAACAGTGAATGATGGAGATATACCTCTGCTGTCTATCATCATACAGTAGTGGACAGCAGGTTGAGGAGACAATAAGTCACAGAACTATCAGCTGTATTCAAGATCGCTTTATGTGGTCTCTCCTCGTGAGGAATCCCTACCGTGATCTTTGCCCAAGCCATGTGCATTGGTCGCTTTCTAGGTGGTACAAATCGTGGTGTTTGCGTGGGAGTTGCTGCAGGTCTTTCAACCTAGGAATAAAGGGAATCTTGGTATGCCATACACGAATAGGTGATGACAGTTACTGTTAGTTGTGGGCAATAAAAATCAAATAAAGATATACTGAATCAATACAATTATCATGTATGAGGCGCTCAGCATTACCAGGGGGTAAAGCGACACCCTGTTCAAAATGTGTTTTTTGTTGGATATCACTATTTTCACCCATCCTCTACATGTTGGCGTTGGATGTAACCCTTAGCTAGAATAGAAATATGGTTGAAAGTCCTTAAAAAAATAGGGTGTCATTTCGCCTCAGGCCGGGAGCTATGTATCTGACCGTGTGCTCAGTAAGTAAAGGTGGTTACATCCCGTTCAGAGTGAGAGGAGCTATTTTTAGAGAGGGCAGAGAAAGACTTTGAACAGTACGTGACTGATTATGACGAGGCCATTTAAGTTTTACGCACTCCTCGGGATTTACGTAACTTCAAGTTACTACGATCTTCAGGGATAATAAAACGAAGGAACTAAACAAAGTAAGATTGTAATACTATTATCAGAATACTGTTTTTACCAAAGATTATGCAAAGTTTCTCCGCCTTTGTATTCGTATGTTAATTACGTGGGGGGATGAGTGTAGCGGTGTTTCCTTATTATTATACAGCTCCTCCCCGACTTACGACGGGGTTAGGGACCCATGGAGACTATATTAATTGGATGAAGCAGAGGAGGAGACAGGGCTGGGTGAGTCATCAATGTCGCTTTCTTCAGACAGGTTTATGTACAGGGGAAACTCGCTTGTTGAAGGTATTGGATCATCTTTAAGGAGTGAAGAGGCAGCACTGGTGGGGCGTGAGGAGACAGTAATGGGGGACTTCTTAAATAGATGTCCAATTTAGACTGCACAGTTTGTTTTTTCTTTTCATAATAAATCTCCCTGTAGCAAGCAAGTGACTCTTGGACTATTCTCTTAAGTTTGGCAAAACGCTCAACATTTTGATCCATTCCATCAAACATTTGCATCCCTTTATTAATTGTAGCAAATGCCTCTGCCATTTGCTTCACTGAAAGTTTTTTGGGGGTGCAGGTTCTTCTACATTTAGACTCTCTTCTTCCTCTGCATTTTTCTGTGCATCCAGTTCAATAAGATCTTCATTACTTAGCTCTTCTGCTACACTTTCAACCAACTGTTCAACATCTTCATTATTAATTTCTAACTCCAGCTGTTTACCCAACTCCACTTTCTTGTTACTAATCTCAGAAATAACTTAATTTTCATTAAATCCTCTGAAACTGTTCACATATCTTTTCAGACTTTCTTCCATATTCCATTCATGCGCTGACCTGTAACCTCATCCCATGCTGCAGCTATGTTCTATATACATGTCAAAATGTTGTAGTCCTTCCAAAACTGTCTGAGCGTTTTCTCACCTTCAGTAGCAGCAACAGCCTGAGCGAATGTCGTACGTGAATAATTAGCTTTAAAAGCAACAATAGCACCTTGATCCATGGGTTGGATGATAGAGGGAGTGTTAAGTGGAATGTAGACTACCTTAACATCAGGGTGCAGGTCGTCCAGGTGTGGTGGGTGTCCCGGAGCATTATCCAAAATGAACAAAATCTTGAATGCAATCCCTTGTTGCAGACAATATCCAGTTTCATCCACGTTGAATATTTGCTCAGGCAAATAATTTCCTTCCACGATCACATGACCTAGCTCCTCCTTAAAAGCTTCGGCAGCACCCACGTCAGCACTAGCTGCCTTTCCACTCAGCTTAACACTGTGTAGACTGTAGCGGCTCTTGAGTCTGTTAAACCACCCAGGACTTGCTGCGAAGGTTTGGTCGCACTCATCTCATGCCTGCTCCTTCAGGCTTTCAAACAGGTTTCTTGCCTTAGCCTGTAAGGTTAGAAGGCTTAAGGGTACACTCTTCTGTATCTGGTCTTCCATCCATATCACAAGTAATTTTTCTATCTCATGAATGGGACCTTGTCTTTTCTTCATTATTATAGTTCCCTTTATAGGTGCTGATCCTTTCACTACCTCATGAATACGTTCCTTGTCCTTCAAAAAAGTAGATATGGTCGAGTGCGAGAAGCCTAGGTCGTTTGAAATTGTTGCTACAGTTTTTCCATTCTCATACTGCATTATTATCTTCATTTTTGTCTCAAAAGTAAATGACTGTCTCCTTTTCTTCTGAGCACCTTCACCACCTTCACTCTCACTTCTATGCTTTCCAGTCATTCTAAAGTCAATTAAATATGAAAATAATGTCAGTACACAGCGTGATCAGTATAGGATACAACGACAGCCAAACACTAATTAAGAGCTCCACGCGGTGACCCATGCCACTTGACGCTCTCGTATGGGACGGAAACATTTCGGTATAGAAAATACGCGCGTTTTTTGAAAAAAAATTTTGGTCCCGACTGTGCAGTCGTATGTGCGGATGGTCGTTACAGACTGAGCAGGTCGTAGGTCGGGGAGGAGCTGTACTTAACAATATTATAAATCTGTGGCTAATAATAGGGACGGAAAGATAATACTGACAGGCAAATGAGTTTATTATTATTATTATTATTATTATTTAATTTTGGGGGGGTTTATGGGGGGGGGGGGATAAGACAAGTGCTGTTTTTGCTGATCATTAACTTGTTTTACAGTATTAGTCAACAATAATGAGAAAATTTGGCAGAAAAACTCAATTATTGTTGGTTTGAAGCTCAAACTCGCGATAAAATAATAACTATTCACAGTACAGTGGGGTATGCTATAACGAACGTAATTGGTTCCAGAACCTCGTTCGTTATAGCATTCGTTCGTTATAGGATTAATCCGTTCCAGGCCCCCAAATACAACCGCTTAACACTGAAAAAATTCTGTGGAAAATGTAAAAAATACGGTACTTTATCTTACCTTAGTGTTATTCAGCATGCAGGTACCCCTAAACACTGGCACATCACTATCACTTCCACTGGGAGTCTTGGCTTTAAGGTCCTCAAACAATTGTTTAGCCTTCTCACAAATTATAGCTTCACTAATGTTACCACTTGCCATTTCTTTCTCCTTTATCCACACTAAGAGTAAATTTTCCATCTCTTCAATCACATTACACTTTGCTTTGCTAAGTCTAAAGATTCCCTTAGCCACTTGCACAGTTTTTAACTCCTCTTTATTCTTCAAAATCGTACATATAGTCGATTTAGCCATCCCATATTCATCACTAAGTTTCGCAATGCTTCTTCCATTCTCACGTTTCTTTATAATTTCTTTCTTAGTTTCAAGGGTTATTAGCTTTCTCACTCGCTTTGGACGACTCATTGTTACAATTGTATACTTGTATAACAAAATAGTTATACAAATAACTCGAATTTCCACATCAAAAGACGAAATTTCAACAATAACAGTGGTGCACTGGCTACACAATGAGACAAAGATGGCGCCTGACGCTCTTGTTGTGGGTCGCGGTACATCAATATTCATGAGCCAGGCGAAATAGTCCCGTATTCATCCACGTTCGTTGTAGGAGTTGCGTTCGTTATAGCATTCTCAATTTTATAGGTAAAACCGTTCGTTATAGGAATATTCGTAATAGGATCCGTTCGTTATAGCATACCCCACTGTAATAACTTCCAGTTTTCACAGTTCACTAGGAGAGGGATGGAGCTGCACGATAAACGATATGAACCCTCTAGCTTAAAAAACAAAAAAGTTTTGGTTGTTTGAACTTTGAAAAACTTTAAACTCGTTTTTCTCAGCTTTTTAATTTGGCGCTCCACCCCCTTCTGATGTGGAGCGCCTTGTATACTGTACAGTAATACCCCGATTTACAAGGTCAATTGAACCCGCGGAGGTACGTGTAAAACGAGAAACACGTAAATGGAATAACAGAACATATGGGATTAATTGAAATAGAGACTGGGCCGATTCCCAAACGCCACTTTTTCCAACACAATACCGACACAATACCTACGTTGTAGTAAAGATAACATCTTAATTTTATGATGGTATGCACGCACAATTAATATTTAAGAGAAATACAGTCACCAGGTTAATGTCCATTCAAATAATGGACTCAACTCCCCCCACCCCGCTCCCCTTCCCACGCTTGCTGGCTCCTCCCTCTCTGAGAAATGTCTGGGTAAAAACACTAGATTTTAAGGTATAGTAATAAATAATACCTGAGACTAAAGTTAGGACAATATAATTGACATTGCTGGATTCCTTGCAAGACCAGGAATATTTTGATTATACAAGTCATATATTTTGCACAAAAGATAACATATTTGCTCTGTGTAAACAAAATTCTTACATTAGATCTAAAATTTGTATGTCTAATGCAAAATCCATGATGTTCATATTTAAAATGATCATCATATTGTAAGAATTCCAGCAATGTAAATTATATTCTGGCCGGGTAATTTGTATGAATTTTATGAGCTAAATAAAAAAATTATACTTCACCCGCGTATATGAACCCTGACCCAGGCTAATATACTACAGTATTAAACCCTGACCCAGGCTAATATACTACAGTATTGAACCCTGACCCAGGCTAATATACTACAGTATTGAACCCTGACCCAGGCTAATATACTACAGTATTAAACCCTGACCCAGGCTAATATACTACAGTATTGAACCCTGACCCAGGCTAATATACTACAGTATTGAACCCCAGGCTAATATGGACAGTATAACCTGACCCAGGCTAATATTATATTAACCCTGACCAGGC